GACTTGAAAATCAAGCAGAATCCTCGCTTTTTATCAGAAACCAAACAATCAGAAAACAAAAATGAAACCAGTAATAGAAAAGGTGAGCATGCACAGCCTAATGGAATCGTATAGAAACAGAGAGAGAGAGAGGCGGCAGTACCATGGTTGATGGAGAGGAAAGAGCAAGCGGGGCTGCGATTGGCTGCGCAAAACCCTTTGTCGTTGATGGATTAGACTGGAGAAAACGAATTTTGCAGCTGGGTTCAATGGGTTTTTGAGTTTTACCAAAATCAATTACAAATTTTGGAGATCTGCGAGGAGGGAATCTCAGAAATTAGGGATGGAAAATGGGGAATCTGTGGAGGGGAGTATGATTTTAGCATAAATGAAGCTCGAAATTAGAGAGGGAAGCTCAGAAATTACTTGGGTCTAGTCTACCGAGAAGGGAAGCTCAGAAATTAGGGATGGAAAATGGGGAATCTGTGGAGGGGAGTATGATTTTAGCAGGGGAGTATGATTTTAGCAGAAATGAAGCTCGAAATTAGAGAGGGAAGCTCAGAAATTACTTGGGTCTAGTCTACTGGGAAGGGAAGCTCAGAAATTAGAGATGGAACATGGGGAATCTATGGAGGGGAGTATGATTTTAGCAGAAATGAAGCTCGAAATTAGAGAGGGAAGCTCAGAAATTACTTGGGTTAGTCTACCGGGAAGGGAAGCTCAGAAATTAGGGAGGGAAGCTCGGAAATTAGGGAGGGAAATTGGGTACTCTGGCGGTGGGAAGCAAAAATAAAGAGGGAAATTGGGGATTGCGGTGGGAAAGCTAAAAGAAAGTGGGTAAGGAATAGGAATATATTATACAAACGGAGCGGTAATCCGTTTGTAAAGATGTATTTATACAAACATATAATAATTGCCGTTGGAATAGATACACTGTATACAGACGGATAATTGTTAAACCGTTTGTATAAATTAAGTCTATACTAACGGATATATTTTTCCGTTGGTACAGACCCAGGCCTATACTAATGGATATATTTTTCTGTTGGTATAGACCTATGTATACTAACGGCATAAGTTTTCCGTTGGTATATTTGACCTATACAGACGGATTTTTTATCTGTTGGTATAAACTTTCGTTGGTATAGGGCATTTTGTTTGTAGTGGTTACTCCTCATTTGATATTTTATCACGTTAATAAAAGATTAATGTTCATGTTTTGTTAATTTTAACAGGATCACAAGCAGAGGAGCAGAAGCATATGGAGGAAACAAAGGAATTAGTCTTGGACAGTGGATTCTCGGTGCCAAAATCCTTGTCAAATGATGGATTTGTTGCCCCAGAAATCAATTCCTACGGCCACACTTTTAGATCTGTTAAAATCTCAATCTCAACTTCGGAATTGGATTATGATTGGTTTTCTTAAAAAGGAAAATCTTAAATGGAAAATTTTTGCAGGGATTACAATGTAGGTGAAAAGCAAAAGATCGTGGAGGAATTCTACCGAACGCAACACATTAACCAAACACATGATTTCGTAAGCAAAATTTTTGCAACAGTGCTCAACATCATTGTTACTGATTTGATTAATATGTGAGTTTAAAGTTCAAATGTTGAATGTGAATTGGTAGGTGAAAAGGATGAGGGAAGAGTACTCGAAATTGAACAGGATGGAAATGAGCATATGGGAATGTTGTGAGCTCCTGAATGAGGTGGTGGATGACAGTGATCCCGATTTGGATGAGCCTCAGATTCAGCATTTGCTGCAATCTGCTGAAGCCATTAGGAAAGATTACCCTGATGAAGACTGGCTACATTTGACTGCCCTTATTCATGGTATATTCCCAATTCAATTCAAATTCCCTTTTTTTTTTTTTTATAATGATTAAAGAAGACAATCTATATCTTGCCGGTTAGGGCCTTACCCAACTTTTGTGAATAGAATGGTTCGTAAGTATTATTATTGGACCTAAACCCCCATGTTAATTCTTATCTAATTAAAACTAGCTAGGACCTGATTAAATCAAACCATGGAGCATCAGCAGACCCCCACCAAAGAGTCATGGTCTTCATAGATAATATTGATCTTATTATTAGTCCATTCATACCCTTTTAGGGACAATCATGAAAAACAAATTATTAGTTAATTGATTAATTAATGAAATTGTTTGGAGGTTTTCAGATCTTGGAAAGGTTCTCCTTCTGCCTCAATTTGGAGGGCTTCCACAATGGGCTGTTGTTGGCAAAGAAGTAAATACCGTTTCGTACCGACTGGTACGACCGATACGTACCAATTTTTAGCGTAAACCGAAACGGAATAAGAATAAATTTTGTTTCGGTAAAAATTCAGTGATTTCGGTCAAATTTTGGTGCATTGACCAAAATTTCGAAATGCCGACCAGTACACCAAAATTTAACCAGTATAATATGCAAGAATTAGAAAAAAAAAAAAGATTTCCTAGCCAAAACGATGTCGTTTTGGCTAGCCCTGCAATTTCAATCGCGCAAATCCTCCTCTATTCTCATGTCCAGCTGTCTTGACTTGTCAATCTTTCATTTTTTGGTACAGTTGCCAACTACAATTCAAATCAATTCAAATTTAAAAATGGCAAATTTCATTTTTAATCCTCAACTTTAATATTTTAAATAATTTTCATGCTTTAGTTTTTTTATATACTTTTTTAGTCCATTCTTTATATTTTTTTTAGTACTTCTATTAATTACTCCGTTAAGTTTTTTTAAATACACATATTTTTAATCCCTTAATTTAAAATGGATGGACAAAAAATATGTATATATTAAAAGTTAAGGGATTAAAAATTATCATTTTAAACTTATTTTTAATTTATAAGAATATCATAGTTTTAAATATTAGTATCTCTTATCTTATTTTAAAATTTGATATTTAATTTATAAAAATATATATTTATAACGATAAATCCGAAACGGTACACGAAAAATTCCGGTATCCGATACGTACCGTTCCAGTAACAAAACCGATACACATACCGGTACGGTATTGACTACTTTGGTTGTTAGTGAGATTCGGGTTTTTCTTTTTAATTATTTTTCAATATTTAGTAGATTTCAATTAAATGGTAAATATTATTAATGTTGCAGGTGACACATTCCCTCTTGGATCTGCTTTTGATGAGGCTAACATTCACTATAAGGTCTTTTTTCTCTTAAGAATTTATGATACTTGATTAAATCTAAAATTAAAATATAATTGCATACTTTCAACTAAAAGTAAAATGTATTTTTTTTAAAAAAAAATTTCAGTATTTCAAGGAAAATCCTGATTTCAATAATCCAGCATACAATACAAAGAATGGAATTTACTCTGAAGGATGCGGACTTGACAATGTGATGATATCATGGGGGCATGATGATTATATGTATCTGGTATTTGCTTATCCAAAACATTACATTAATATTTAGGAAAATTATTGATATATGTTTAGATTTAATATAATTACTAATATCCACTAATTCAATTATTAAATTCTATAATTAAAATTTTTTTCGTATTGAATTTCAATTTAAAAATAATAATTTTTTAATGAATGCATTGTAAAATGTTAAAATAAATGGTGTACAAATTATTGTCCTAATATTTATTGTTCATAACATAACCAGACGAAGCAAATATTTCACTAGCAATATCGTGTGTTCAACGATTTGCAGGTTGCAAAGGAAAATGGAACAACTTTACCTTCAGCAGGGCTGTTCATTATAAGATATCACTCCTTCTATCGTATGCTCCATAAATTCATTAATTTTCTTGAAATGGGTAGTATGACCAATTGGTACCCTAACCAATAGTATTATATTTACATTACAGCCTTGCATAAGGAAGGAGCCTACATGCACCTTCTTAATGATCAGGATAAGGAGGATCTGAAGTGGCTCAAGATATTCAAGTATTAATCTATAATGTCCCTTACGTTTTGGTTTGCATTATATCAAATGCTTTCAAACTAAGAAAAATGTCAATTCTTAAATTTTTTTTTTTTTTGAAAATGATAAAAGTGTATGTTATTAATAATGAGGCTCACATGGATTTACCAATTGCATTTTGGTTATTTCCAACCGGATTAACATTTTCTTAGTCAATTTAGATTGAAAAACTACGACATTTTTATATATCAAGCACTAACCCTTGTATTACTTTAATTTATGAAATATTCTGCGGCAAATATGACCTATACAGCAAGAGCAAAGTTCTCATTGATGTCGAAAAAGTCAAGCCCTACTATCTTTCCCTCATTGAAAAGGTAATTAATTAATTATACACTGAGTGGACTAGCTAGAGATAATTTTTTTTTATTTCTTTAATCTGGGTGGTACCAACAACCTGTTGGTCTGAGTGGAAGGAGTTCGGTTTCCCTTAAATAAGATTTCGAGTTCGAGTTTTGTTAATGAAAAAACAGGTGCTGGGAGAGTTTCCCCCAAATGGAGTCCAACGCGGCTTGATTCTAGATTAATCGGGACCCAATGTGGTTATCGGAAACTAGGAGGTTAGTACCAAAAAAAAAAAAAAAATCTGGGCGATCTTTTTGTTTTCTTTTCCCTTTTTTTTTTTTCCAATTCTAAAAGTCTATATGTGAAATTTGGTTGCAGTATTTCCCAGCTAAGCTCAGGTGGTGAGGCATGGAGGTTTGAATTTTGAAAGATTTTTCTGATATGGAAGCTTGCGGTGAATTTGAGAGTTTTTGGGACATTCATTTGGCATTGAAGAAAAAAGGATGAGAAAGTGTTATGATGATTGCTTTTGTTTAAATAGTTTCATTTAATTATAATAAGTTGTAGTTTGTTTGAGGTAATTCAAACAGGTATGAGCTTGTGTAGGTTCTTCTATAGATATGCTCATATTTCTAAAACCGTTGTATGTTGATATGTTTAATTTAATAAATTGAAATATCCCTATTGGAATGGTGGGGTTTTGATAGCGCACAGCCGCGTAGCGCACACCCGTAATCAATCTAGGACATGTTCAGATCATTTGTATTAGGCACGGCTAGAGCAAAGATAAAGAAAGCTTGGTCATTCACGTTTCTTGTTATTATATGGTCCATCTGGAACGTACAGAACAATCTTATTTTTAAGGAGGTTGAGATCTCAACAAGTAATTTATTTGAAGTAATTCAAATGCGATCCTTCTTTTGGTTGAAAGGTAAGGTGATTGGGTTTTATTATTCTTTTTATGAATGGTGTAGCAATCCAAGAGTTTGTGCAAAAGTAATTACCTAGTAATTTAAGTGCATGAGGACACAATGCTCAGAACAAGGAGGAATTTGATTTGTGAAGCAAATGTTGTAAACTTGGTCAAAGACAGGAGTACCCATTGGTTAAGGGCAGGAGTACCCCTTATGTTTCAAAATAATAAAATTTAAAAGTTTCTTGTTGATTAAAAAAATAATAAATTGAAATGTTGCTTTTTTTTTTTCTTTTACTAATTCCTATATTCACCATTTTTTTTTTTTAAACACTGGTGAAATGATACAAAAATAGGACATACCACAACTCTAAACATGGTTAGTTTGGATCTTATACTCACCATATGGACGGATTGAGTGTACAACATTTCATATAATATGATATAACTCTAAACAGTGTTTGGGAGGGATCTAGATGAAGAAGAGATTTTGTTGGAGACTTTAGAAGGCGTTAATGTGGCGGAAGGGAAAGAATATGGGACAATAAGGAAACACGATAGAATGGGACGGCATTTTCAAGTAAGGCATACTCACTGTTGGATAATGAACAGAGAATACTAGATGCATATTTTTGTGTGGCTATATGGAATAACTTTGTTCCTGGGAAGGTTAGTTTCTTTGCTTGGAGAATGTTTGTAGACAGTGAGTTTTGATAGTTATTGCGACTTTGCGAGAAATTGGAGGATGACGGGAGGTTTGGAAGAATTAGAAACAGAGTCATTGTCAAAGGACCTGGGCTTGCACTTTGTATTTTACTCTGGTCTTGTTGAGAGATATGAAGCACGGTTAAGCAAGCATATACTCATACATGTTTTAATATGTAATGGACTGAGATATCCTTTATACCATCTTAATAAAATTCTTGGACAACTTACATAAAATAATTTGATATAGAAAATGAATCATACAAGTATCTGTGTATATATATATATATATATATATATACAATCCCACTTGAATCTATCATTATGAGATTTTTGCATAATATAATAAAGGAAAATGATTGATATACAATTTGGTTCAACACACTCGTTAATACTTTTTGGTTCAGCCATTAAATTTTGTAGTTGAAAGTTTTTCAACTTTGAATTTAAATTAAAAAATAATAATTTATTAATAAATATGTTATGAAGTGTATTGAACTGAAGAGTATTGAACTGAAGAGTATATCAATTATTGTCTTATAATAAAACATTGAAAAACATGAGAACCCCAACTCTTTATGCAATTCTTAAGAATATCGACCTTGGCAACTAATTGAGAGGACCACTTAAGAAATTGGCTTCTTTTCATATCATACTTTTTAAATCTACCTAAAAAATATCTTCAGATTTAATATTATAGGTGACCAATAAACACCACACATCATATAAACCAATCAATTGTAGCAAAACCTTTATTAGAAACCCAAAGATGATAAAGATCCTTATTGAAAACTAAAAGAAAAATAAAGAACTTATAAGCAGAATGGCTACACAAATCCTAAGGCGACAGAGCAGACCTAGGAAGTTCGTATGAAGTCTGTTGCCCAACGAAGGAGAAGAAAATGGGCTAGGGTTTTTTTGGGCGAGAGGAGGCAGAAAACTTTAAGGTTAAGTTAAAAATAATTATTAAGGGTTTTTAATTAGTGGGTATTAACTCCATCAAACTCTTATTACTATAATCTATATCAATAATTGTTAAGCCAGCAAAGATTTAGTGATTTTTTCTCTCGCCGCCGCTAGGGTTTCCTCGCGACGGTCGAGCCCCTCGCCTAGGCATTTCTCCCTGTTTCGTGCAGGGCTTCTCCCCCGGTTTCTCTTTTCGTTTCTTCCCATGGCTCATCCGCTTATGTTGGCCTGGACTCATCGCAATCTCGGAGAGGTTTATTTGTTTTTTGAGTCAACTAAATCGTGCCTCCAACAAATGCCGAACTCTGTTTTGCTCCCTGCATCACAGCAATTGGCAATGGAGATGATTTTGTTCCAAATAGATCTAGGGTTGGCTCACTGTTTCACGTGCAATTGTGCTGAGAGAAGGGGTGGTTTGAATCTGTTTTGGCAAGATGAGTTTGCCATTCAAATTTCCTCTTTCTCGCCATTATTAGATCTAGGGTGGGCTTTACTGTACTGTGAGCAATTGTGCCGAGACAAGCCATCTCACATTAAGGTGGTAATAGTAGACCCGGGTGGATGTCAATGGCCTTTCACAGGGTTTTTCGGCCAACCAAAGACGGATTCCCCTCTGCTTTGGCTGCGTTTAGGTGCCATCAATGCTACCTTGAGCAAATCGAAAAACGAGAAGGGCATTCTCTTCTTCTGGTTGGGTTCTGCGTGGGGGGATATAAGCGAGTTTTGGTGTGGACGGTCAAATTTCCATGTTGTGAAGGAAGATGATGGTGTTTTGCAAGGGCAGCATGGCCCTCAAGCTGGTAAAGGGGCTCTAGATCCCTTATTAACCTATGATAGCCAGGGATTGTTGAGGATTGGAACAGATGGGCATATGTTTGGATACACTTGCAGACAAACAGGGTACCTGACAACTGCACAGAGGAGGACCACACCCCTCATCTTGCTTATTATTTTTTAAGAAATAGCTTGGATGGCAACCTATAGTTTGGGGACTGTTTGTTGCCAAAATCCGTTCTCTCCCCGAGAAGCTGGTTAACTAGGTGAGGATGTCCAGTAGCTTTCGATGCTCATAAGGACTTTCCTTTCTACATTAGTAGCCCTTTTTAGCCCATACAGCGATTGCAATTTGCAATCTCTAGTTGCAGATGGCTCTCTTTACTTAATTGTCTATATTCGTCATGGGTATAGTTTAAAAGCTGTTACTAGGCTGTAGGTTATGCTTCTGTTGCTGATTCTGATTTTTAAGCTTTCATGCGTTAGGCTATATGCCATGTGATGGAGTTTTTACTATACTTTCCTTATTATTCAATATATTTCTCCATTTCTTATCAAAAAAAAAAAAATTGTTAAGCTAATACTTATCTAGAAATTAAAAGGCGAAAAGGATATATTAGTTCATGAACTTTTTGAGCTACTTGAAATCCACCCCTCAACTTTTTTTTGAAATTTTTTAACCCTCGTACTTTAATATTGAAATAAATCAACTTACATATTTTTCGATTGAAATAAATCAGCCCAAATTTAA